CCAAACTCACACTACAGTTGCCTCAATCCGGGCCAAAGCACGCTTTTCCCCCCTCCCGTCTCCCCCGATGGCCCGCACTCACATTACAATCGGGCCTGGGCACGCTTACGTCATCGATGCTGCACTGTTCAGTAAGCGTTCTCGCTCAACACAGTAGAGATTTCTGTAGTTATATTGTTAAAGTCATTTGACATTCAGTGACATGCAGTCAAATATTTTGCCAAACAGTCCTTAAGGATGTGATGACACGCAGTCAGATATTTTGTCGAACAGATCCGCCACTTTTGGCGCTTATAAACAGTCATAAAGCCTTCGTGCTGCAGGAATGAGGAGGTTTGCTGAAGGTGCACAGCTGTGGTGCAGTGAGGGGTTTGCGTATTTAATAAACTACGGCAGTTTGCGTTCACTGAACAGTAAGAATGATTAATAAATCCATATGAAACCATAAAAGTCACGTCTCGCTTTCAGTTTCGGGCTTTGGCGCGTTTTGCACTCACACTACAAGCATACAGTGCCAAAACCCACGTGAACTGCGCTCAGGCCAACCTCTTCCAACCGGTGGCCAAGTGAACAGTGCCTGAGCCTGATTCAGAGCACTCACACTTCTCAAACGATCCAGGAAACGGGCCTGGGCATGGTTCGGATAGCATGGTGAGAGTACGCCCTAAATTTGGTACCCGAGGGGTCATCAGACATACCATTAGACAAACCAAGAAATTTTTTTTTTTTCTCATGAGTCTACATTTATATTTAGACTACCCAATTTGAAGTGTGCATGGCTTTTTTTCTTGTTTTTTGTTTTGTTTTCATTTATGGTGATTTATGGGGGCTTTTTGCTCAAATGTGTTGTTGAGATTCCATCGGAGGTCTTCTGGCTGTAACTGAACTTGCAGGTATTTTATTTAGATCTTCTTTTTTGGTCTGTCTGGAGATGATAATTAGCTAGAATCTTCGATCCGTTTTGACAGTAGTTGTTTGTTGTTCAGTGTGTTTCATGTTTTAGATGAGCATCCTATTTGCTGAACTTTTTTATACATCTTCCATTTCCAGTCATTTGTTTACCTTAATTGCGCTATTTCACCCATGTTGTTTTACAGTTCAGAAATAAATATATTTTAACACCAACTCCTAGATAAAAACAAAATATCAATGACCTTTTTTAAACTTTTTTTTTTCCATAGAATGAATCATCTTTCAGTCCATTAGCTAATTGCTTAAAACAAGCAACACATGACCAAGCAACACTACAACATCCACAATTAAATCATCTGAAACTCACAAATATCACTACTGCTAAGGACAAGGGTTCAAGAGGTTACTGATATAGGTACAGACATTTTTAAACACAACTGTGAACACAAAACATTCACATTTTATGAACTTTTTTAGACCTAACACAAGATTTTGTCATAAAAAGCTACAAAAAAACACTTTATTGAATTTTTATTTTAGTTAATTTTAGAGTAATCACTTTGTGAAGTTTTATAAACTAATTTCGAGAAGAGCACATTATATTATTGATGGTGGCTGGTCTCTCATCTACAATCACCTATACTATCATCAATAAACCAATTAAAATTAATCCAAGCCTACAATTATACATCTATAACCTTCCTTTATCTTCGTTTTTGAAGAATCCCAGATGAACCTTTTTCTCCTTCACCATCGGGGGCTCCCGAGTCCTACCTGATCTCAGACCCACCTTTTCATGCTAAATGACCAGGCAGGAGCCAGTACCTCAATTATTTCTGATTTTAGAGTTCTCTCCGGGGACAGCATGCCAAAACTGCTTTTAGTATCAAGCAATATCTAAGCATGAACTCTTGAAACATTCAAATTTTAATTCTGGTTACTTTTCACTAGTTTAATTCCAATTCAGTCTTGCAATTTTCTAATCCATTCTCTACAAATCTGCTTGATATAAATTGTGTGTTGTATGGCGTGTCGGATCTCTTGTATCTCTTGTCCTTGCCTTTGTTCTCGCAGTTTTTATTGAATGCCTTGAACTATGAATGCCACGTTGTCAAGTTAAAAGGAGCACTTTTAAAAGCACCGTGTCTCACAAAACATTGATGAGTCTCAAAACTCCATTCTGTTCAGTTCAGTTGTGCTGCATCTAAAAAGAAAAATGTGTACAAGCCTTGCAAAACACTGAGTGCTGACCTGGACTTGACACAAACTACTGTCTGAAGGATCAGCTTGCAAGGTACCACGATAAATAAATAAATAAAATATTATAAAAAAATGTTCCTTTTGATATGTTGACTAAATTCCAACTTGTGTGAGAAGTTTGAAAAACAATGTTGTATTGTTTTCATGGCTGTCACGGCTGAGTACTCTGGTTCTGATGCCAGTCTCTACAATAAAGTACACCACACTTTGTACTGATGAATTATTTACTGTAGCATCCCTATCAAATCATCACATTGTGTTTCCATTTCTCTAGTCAAAATGGTTTTTGGCCGCTGAACAAAGCATGAAGTCTTTTATTTGATTAAAACGATTCCATTATCTAAATGCCCGTTTTACAAGTAGATATTCGATGAAAAGTGAAACACAACTGTGACAGCCATGGTTGAAAAGTGCACACATTTAACTCCAATAAACTCCACACTTATGGCTCTCGACAAGCTTTCAATTACCAAGTCCTTGATTATTGTATTGATTATGAAACGCTCAATGACAACTCGTTTGCAAATTCCCATTTGCATTTACACAGCCACTAAAATGACACAAACGAAAGAATAAAAGGACAGAGAGAGAAGGTGGCATCTGTTGGGGCTTTTAGACAGATACATCACACTAATCCATTCCTTCTACATGAGCCCCTGTCAGGGTTAATTGGTTTGTGAAGATGGGTAATGAAGGAAAATGGCGGCGTTTATTGTTGCGCCTCTCTCATTAAAAGGACGCAGTTCGGCTGACATTTACACACCCATCAGACACCAGGAGGAATGCGTTATAAAACGAGCAGCTTTAACTGATCTGAGCACAGTAACGCTGCATGACAGTGTTTCATAAACTATAATGAGGTTAAAGTCATAAGACGTTTTACAAAGATCAACTACACCCAGGAGCATCATGGGAGGTCACAGATGGTAAAAGCAATAACAACCCAAGCTAACACAAACCGGTAAATGCATGTGGGGGCTCAAACACAGGAAAGCTAATGTGTGTCATTTCTGGCTTTACAATTGGTTGCACAAATTGGAGGTCCCACACCATAACCCATATGCTATCTGGTTGTTAAGTTGTGACGTATGAAATACTGTTTCTGGGTCCAAGCCGCTACTCATTTGAATTGAGAAAATATTTATTTATGACTACTTTTTAGTCATATCACACATTTAAGGGATTTTTATATAAAATCATTTTAATATAAATATTTAAATTATTTGATATAAATTCTGGCCATCTGATATTAGGCATGATATGATATATATGTATATACATATATATATACAGTTAAAGTCAGAATTATTAGCCCCCCTGAATTATTAGCAGACATTTTTTCACCTGTTTAATGGAGAGAAGATTTTTTTTAACACATTTCTAAACAGAATAGAATGATTTGTTCTGTAGACTATCGAAAACAAAAATAGCTTAAAGGGACCAATAATTTGGACCTTAAAATTAATTTAAAGAATTAAAAACTGCTTTTATTCTAGCCGAAATTAAACAAATAAGACTTTCTCCAGAAGACAAAATATTATCAGATATACTGTGAAAATTGTTCTTGCTATGTAAACATTATTTGTGAAATATTTAAAAAAGAATAATACTGACCTCAACTGTATATATATTGCAATTGTAATTTTTGAATATAATGCATTGTTACATACATACGTAAACACTTTTTATTACCATTTGATGAGCCTCCCCATTCAGTTTAATATAGCATTTGCACCCAGAAGCTGCTTCATGTGACATCACACTTGGCTGAATAAAGTGTTTTGGAGGTCTTTTTCAACATTGCATTTTACATTAAAAACACAGTTGATTCTACTGAAACTAAGAAAAGATCTCCATCAACTAGTGATGGAATGGTTCGATTTTTTTCCGCAAGCCAGATTTTTCAGACTATTCGTTTTAATGAACTGGTTAAAAAAATAAATAAAAAACAGATCACAGGTTCTTTTACGCTAAAACAAAACGATGCCATTCACAATGACGTAATTACAATCCTCATATATTAGGACTCAACATATCAAAAATATATAACCATACAGTTACATTGCAAATAATTTAATTGAAACAAGGCTTTTCAATTCATACGTGTTCCATGTAAAACATCATAATTCAGCACAAGGTGATTGGGTGCAGTGTAACTTTTTTATGTACGTTCGTTCGACTTCAGGTCATGATGTCAATGCTGCAATATACATAACACAGCAACATTTTAAAGTACTGTGTCATTTTGGTCATACATACAAGGGTTAAGACAAATAAAACTGTAATAAGTTTAGTATTATTTGTGTGTATTTATCTTGTCTATTGTGTTCATCAAATCTTCTGACCAATGTCCCTTCCCTTCAAGACGCTTTTCATTTGCTTTTGATGTGATGCACTTAAACTCTCAAAAACAAAACGCTATTGGCTGTTTTTTTATATATTTATTAAAAAGAGAAGCTATGATACTGTATTTCTCACCCTGTCTTCATGTTTCAATTGAGATTACAGTACATCAAATTTAGAATAAAAATGCACATTTCAAAGCACTTCACGAGACCTTGAAATGTTTCTGTCATGTCGTGTCTGGTGCAGAAAGACAAATTGCATGTCACGGGAATCTTGTGATGTGTTGTTAGGACACAGTGTAATGCAGCAATGTAATACATGTTTTGGGCATAAACAGTAGTGCATGTGTAAATTTTATTTGCTGACAATTTTCGGTGTATAATGATCCCTGATGGTTCTGGTGTTAAACGTTTCAACTTTAACAAGAACCCACATGTAATTGGCACTTAGGTTTGGACCCATCAATGTTGTGCAGATGTTACCTCTCTCCTGCGTGATGCCCAGCACGTCTGTTTGACTTTCCAAACCACAGCCGCAACCAACAGCAGGGACAGGAAACAGCTGGAGACAAAACGCACAGAAAATCAATAGATCAGTCAATCAAATCAAATTCATGAGTCTGTAATCGCAATCGTGGAAAACATTCCACTAACCTCAGAGGCTAGACTGAGGACAGCTGTTTCATATTTGTATTTCAAATCCCACAATCAATAATAAACAAGTTCATCCAGCATGAAAGAATCAATGCCTTATGGAACTGACAGTTGTGTCAATCATACTCTATACGCAATGCCAGCCGGTGCAGTGAACAGGGCTGATTTTCTCTCTAAAGCCATAGACTGCACAACGTCTATTTTTGGAAAGACGGGAGATGTTTGATCATATTAAAAAAAAATGCTGGCCTTGAGAAGGGCTAGTAATTTTAAATGCACAAATAAAAAGCAGCATTCCTCTTTGTGTTTTTTTTTTTTTTTTTTTTTTTTACCATTGGCAGAATTCACACAACATGATGACAAATGCACAGAGCTGAAGTATAGAGGGGAATAGCATTTGGGAGTCATACACAATCCATTTTGTTGTTGTTGTTGTGGATTTATTTATTTATTTGTTCCATGCCCAGTTTTCGGCCAGCATCTGCTGCAGTACAGTACATGATAAAGCACTAGTAGACAAGTGGGTAGTGTTGCCTACAATGTAGGAGAGATGAGTGTCACAACTCATGGACAAATTCATTCATTCATTTTTTTTTTAGCTTAGTACCTTTATTAATCCATGGTCGACACAGCGGAATAAACTGCCAACTTATGCAGCATAAGTTTTACACAGCGGATGCCCTTCAAGCTGTAACCCAACACTGGAAAACACCCATACATTCACACGCCTACACTACAGTCAATTTAGCTTATTTAATCACCACCTGTCTTTGGACTGTGGAGGAAACCGGAGCACCCAGAGGAAACCCATGCAAACGCAGTGAGAACATGCTCCACACACAAATGCTAACTGACACAGCCGGGGCTCAAACCAGAAACTTTTTTTGCTGTGAGGCAATCGTTCTACCCACTGCTCCTATTTTATTTCAAAATCGTACTGACCCCAAACCTTTGACCGGTAGTGTATTTATAAAATAAAAAAAGTCAAAAAATGTAATTGCCATTTAGAATTATTATTATTTTATTTTATTTAATGCAAGAACAAAACAACAAATTAATTATTCATTCATTTTGTTTTCGGCTTAGTCCCTTTATTAATTGGCGGTAGCTACAGCTTAATAAACCGCCTAGTTATCCAGCACATGTTTTATGCAGCAAATGCCCTTCCAGCTGCAACCCATCAATGGGACACATCCATACACACTCATTCACTACAGACAATTTAGCCTACCCAACTGACCTATACCGCATGTTTTTGGACTGTGGTGGAAACCGGAGTACCCAGAGGAAACCCACGCAATCGCAGGGAGAACATGCAAACTCCACACAGAAACGCCAACTGACCCAGCCAAGGCTCGAACCAGCAACCTTCTTACTGTGAGACGAAAGCACTACCTACTGCGCCACTGAGTCACCAACAAATTATTAAATTAAATATAAAACAAAATATAATTCATCAAATTAAAATGCACACAAATTGTAAGTATATTGCAAACCATACATTTATATAATATTGCAACAATTCTTCACTGTTGTAATTTAGTAATTTATGTCAATAATTGGAAAATCTATACTATCTACCTTAATTTTTGCTAAATACATTTTTACTTTTTCTGTATTATTTCTTAAAAATAATATTACAGTTTACAACTACTTCATAAGCACATTAAACCTAACATAAAGCTAAAAACTTTAAATCATTCCATATGGACACTATGGCTTTGTATGAGTGAGTAACAGAAAGGATGCAGAGCTTAACCAAGGGTCAACATACTGACAAGGACATCAGAGAAACAGGGGCATACGAGAATAATGTCATCTGCCCATCATTCACATTCAAACAGTGCCCCCATTCAGTCTGCATTATTACAAATACATACCATCAACCGCACAGACACACTGCCTAGAGGAAGAATGTTCAATCTCAAGACAGACAATCTGAAGCTTTGTGAGACTCTGCAAAAAGTATATGGGGTGTTATATGAAGGCAGGATTTGATTTTGCACCATAGGAAGGGTATTGCAAGTGCACAGTTTGGGAATGTGGGCTCTAATACAGTCTCTTTGCTTAAGCATCATAAATTTAGGGGTTTAGCTCATTACATCTGGAGCTGTTCAAATGCTAAAATTAGCGCTGGACTAATCATAGAGTAGTTGAGGTAATGCAAGAGTCTGAAACCGGCTTTTCAACCATTTCATCTACCATATTTCAAAACCCAATCAGCACAAGTCAGGGGTCCCTTATTAAATCTATTAATGATGAGGGCAATTAATTCTTAACGAGCTGGATAATGCTTCTAATGGGTGGAGAATGAGACTCAATAATGCCTGAGCACTTTCACTGAGAAACTTATGAAAGCACATTCTTTTAAAAGTGGTTTGATGAAGGTGTTGTTTGAGGACAGAAACCATATTGAATGTGTTTGAGGATGTGATGGATAGACAGTTTGCTCAATGAGTCGCTGAGAAAGCACTTTAAGTGGAAATGGCAGCGGTTTGTGCCTACATTGTCAGAGAAAAGACAGGAAAAGTTTTATATTACATGTATTTAACATGTACTTATAGTGTACTTACCTAAAAATACATGATTGCATAGGGTAACTATTGTACAGGCTGTTGAGGAACAGTACAGTTGTTTTCAGGTTTATGTAATGGCTATCCTAAGAAGACTACCAGTTAGTACTGTACCTGTCAATAGGTTTAGATGTATAATGTTTTCTTTTTTTTTTTTTTTAAGAAGTCTCTTCCGCTCACCAAGTCTGCATTTACTTAATAACAAAGTGTAGCATAAACAGTACATTTCCATAATATGTTTATTTTCAAGGTGGAGCTTATTCATGCAATTTTAGTTATATATATATATATATATATATATATATATATATATATATATATATATATATATATATATATATATATATATATATATATATATATATATATATATATAATCACATAACTTTTGTTAACTTCACATTCTTTAATCAACAGTGTGTCCACAGTCATACTGGGGTGATATAAAGACAATAAGTCTTTCTTTCCATTTTTTTTATGTTAAAATAGAATCCAAATCCCTCCCATTTTAAGGACCACCGCAAAAAATCTGTTCAGCTCTCTGTGATCATCAATCAACGTCAAATGTGATCAAGAATGAGTTTCACAAGTTTAAAACCTTTTTAAAACACTGCATGTTTGAAATGAATTACATTAATTACATTAATTAATTAAAGTGAAATTCTATTGTTCTATTAAGGTCTTCCTGTCTTCCAATATCAAATAAAATGTTTGAATTACAAATTTTCCCACTTGTCATGATTAAAAACCAGGACTGTTCTGCTAAATACTAAAAATTAGAATAAATAAGATCTTTATATAAAAAATAAACACAAATAAAAAATATATTAAAAATATACACAAACCCATACACATATAAATCCAGAGAAACTTAAAAATTGAAGTGGCCTCTTGTTTTATTTATTTATTTATTTCATTGCTGTATATATAGTGTCTGTTCAGTCATGTTGTGTAGAGTGTGATCTGCTTGTAGTATTGATTATCACAGGTAGCAAGAAGCCTCTGAAGGATGAATGAAGAAAGCCAATCTACCAACGTCGCCCGAGAAAGCAAACAGCCTACGAGGATTAAACAATCAATACAAACAACCATACAAACCGGAGCTGAGGACAGAAACACACACACCATCACGGCCACTTCCTGCATCTATCCGTCATCCCGCCCGCTCCTGTTTATGTTTATGAGTCACAATAACACATAATCTTGTATTCACTCGCTCTAATAGGCACAAAGGACAAAAGCCCCATTATACCCAAATCGCGAGTGGGAGAGAATCGGCTTTAGCCAGTAACACAAGTCAAATCAATTGCCTGCAATCTCCATCCAGTGCCAGCGTTCAGGGACGCCAATAACATCATCTGCGATATGAGTCTGTTCATTCAACACTTCAGGCCTCATATGGCTTCTGTCCTAACAAAAAAAAAAAAAAAACAGGAGGAGGAAAAAGGGAGAGGTGGATGAACGTTAATCAACATAAGAGTGAAAGAGAGTGTGTAATTGGGCTAAACCGAATTGCAGTGTCACCAATTAGCTGGAGGAGTGGGTGAAAGGCTTAAGCGCTCTTTAATTGTTACTGTTTTTCTTGCTCATTTAGTGAAGCTTTAAGAGAGCAGAGATAGAGAAAAAAAAAACACTCTTCAAAGAATACATACTCAAAAAGACTTTCCGAAGTTAATGAGGGATTGCAAGGAAACATCTATCTGTTCAAAAGTACAGAAGTGACTATGACTAAAAGAGTGTTCTTCCAAATTATGCGTCTATTGTTATTTTATTTCCATTGTCCCATTTATTATTTTAATAGCCTTTAATTTTTATGAATATGTTTTTTTCCCTTCCTAATCTCTATAATGGTCTCTTTGTTTAGAAAGATTGTTTTTTAAATAAATTAAAAAATAAAAAGCAATAATAATTAAAAAGCCCTCTGGAATGATTGTGACAGACAGCGCAGTTTACCTTCTGATTAAAAAGCTCATCCATTTTATCAAAGCCAGATGAATGAGGAAGAGATAAATATCCATGTATTTGCTTGAGGCACGCAGCCCACAGTCTCTCAGGAGGGTGTTTTGAAAATTTTAGAAGACTTTAAGAAACGCACTTCTAATTAAGATTATGTTAAGAGCTGGAGGTAGTGTAATATGCAAATCAAATACATGAATCAGACAATTGGAAAAAAAATATATATACTAGCTAACTTTAATGATTTCCTTTTTTCACTAAGTGTAATTAAATATACATATTGTATGCCTTCCAATAAATTGCTGCAGCGATAATGAAGTATTTCTGAGGGCCAACCTGGAAGTTTTGAAGCCTAAATGTAACGCTCAAAGTTAATAAA